CGGGCATGGGGGGGGGCGCGCATGCGCTCTCCGCCCGACCGCGGGTGTCACGATTCGATCCCTGAGGGATCAATCATTCAATTTCAGCCAGTGATGTCCGGCTGAAGTTGAATGATCGGTCTCTGTCCTATCCTATCCTGTGTTGACAGTTACACAGGACAGGATATGATGTAAATCTTCTCTGCCTGGGCCACATTCCATCACCCAGAGAGAGAAGAAACACAGAAAACGTGAGTACAAAGCACTACACTAACAGTTAGGAACACACCTAGGTCACATTTAACCCATTGATCACCCCCCCCAGTTAACCCCTTCACTGCCCTGTTACCAGTGTCATTGTTTACAGTGCATTAGATTTTTACTGATTACTGTATTAGTGTGTCACTGGGCGACTTTTATGATAGTGTTAGCGGTCCAGTTAGCGCCCATCCCAGAAAGCATCAGATTGCCCGCTTGAGTACACCAGTAATCATATTTTAACCCTTGATTTGCCAGGAACACGCTTTCACATTGCACACTAAACCTCCATTGCTAGTATAGTGTCTGATTGGGATCAAATATCTAGGTTGATCAGATGTGTCAGACGATGTTACCAGCGTTCACATTTAGTATTAGTGTCCCCTAAAAAATGCAGCGGCGCCTGCGGGGCCATCAGCCCCCGACACCTGCGTTTTAGCATATCCTTTTACGACCCCCCCTTTCTTCCCCAGCAAGTGCAGTGGATCAGTAGATAACTGTCACTTGATACTTTATACACAAAACACCGCAGGTGTAGTGTTTCACAGAATCAGACCTGATCTCTGTTAGCACGTGTCGGTAAATTTTCTGTAGCGGTTCAAGCAGTCCCTGACTGCCATGCAACAGCTCTCTGCTTTCAGTGAGTCGCACTAGGTACCTATAAATTTAGTGGCCAAAATTGTCCCAACCAAAGGTACTCTAGTGAAAGATGCCTACAAGGATTCGGAGCCTGTCAGGTGAGAGCGAAGGTGATGACTCACTAAAAATTAAAAATACATATCCCCCGCAAAAAAATAAAAAAATTTAAAAAACCATTAAATAAATTGGATAGTTTTTTTTGGTTGTTGTCATTTTTTTGTGATTTTCTACTTTTACTGTTTTATTGTTACTGTTTTATTGTTAATCATTTCTGTTTATATGGAATGTCCTTTCAGCTGCAACACTGACCTGTTTATTCTGACAGCAACAGGGTGAACTTTGCTCTCAGAATAGACATAAATCAATGTGGGCAGGGCTGTTGGATGAGATTTTTCCTCCGCAGTTTAAAAAAAGAGCATATATGCCGAAGCCATGGGGGTCTGGGGTGGCCAGTCGGTGGATGGCCCCTATGCTTCGGCATATATATTTTTATTTGTTGGCACATTTCATGTGTGCCCACCATTAGAAGTGGGTGGATGCAGGGGAGGTTTTCTAATGGTGGGCATACCACCACACACTTTTCCTTATAAAGTTTGTTTTTGATTGAGTTTGTTTTTTTGTTAACCATTGTTGATTTATTTGCAGGAATGTCCAAACTGCAGCACTGACCTGTTTATTCTTGACAGCAACAGGGTCTTGCTTTCAGAATAGACATAAGTAGGTGTGTTGCAGTGCTGTCGGATGAGAATTTTTCATCCGCAGTTAAAAAAAAGAGAATATATGCCAAAATGCATGGGGGCCTGGGGTGGCCAGTGGGTGGATGGCCCCTATGCTTCGGCATATATATTTTATATTTGTTGGCACATTTCATGTGTGCCCACCATTGGAAGTGGGTGGATGCAGGGAGGTTTTCTAATGGTGGGCATACCACCACACACTTTTCCTGGCAAAGTTGTTTTATTGAGTTTGTTTTATTGTTAAGCCATTGTTGCTTTCTTTGCAGGAATGTCAAACACTGCAAAACTGACCTGTTTATTCTGACAGGCAACAGGGACTTGCTTTCAGAATAGACATAAGTAGGTGTGTGCAGTGCTGTCGGGCATGAGATTTTTCATCCGCAGTTAATAAAAAGAGAATAAATCTGCCAAAGCATGGGGGTCTGGGGTGGCCAGTGGGTGGAAGGCCCCTATATGTTTCGGCATATATATTTTACATTTGTTGGGAGACATTTCATGTGTGCCCACCATTAGAAGTGGGTGGATGCAGGGAGGTTTCTAATGGTGGGGCCATACCACGCACTTTTTCTGGCAGGAGATTTGAGAATGCAGCCTTTTTTTTTCATTCAGCCCACAGGCTGCATAAAGAAAAAAAAAACATAGCATATACACCCAACAAGGACCAGCGACGTACTGGTACATCAACTGGACTTTGAATGGTTAAACAGGGTGATGCCTGCAGCTGCAGGCATCATCCTGGTATCATTTTTTTCAGCCGGCAATGGGCTTTCATGATAAAGCATTTTTCTAGTGGGCTAATTAGCTGCAGGATTGCTTTTACAAGCAGCGGGAGAAAATGCCGCCCCCCCCCCCTCCCTGAGATAGCATTAAAAGTGATAAAAAAAAAAAAAATTAAGGGACAGCGTAAAAATAATTAAATAAATCAGAAAAGAAAAAAAAAAAGTACCCTCGCCCATCCGCACACACCTGCGGTTGTGAGCGTTGACCCTGTGCCAGTATGGAAACAGCGATTGCGCCATGATGACCGCCACGTCAGATCAAGGGCAGTAATTATAGCTCTAGACCTCCTCTGTAAATTTAAAATGGTAGCTTGTAAAGGCTTTTAAAGCATTTGCCTATAGATATTAAAACTGTATGCAGTTTGTCGCCATTGCACAGGGCATGCGCAAGTTTAAAGCATGTCATGTTTGGTATCTATATACTCAGCATAGCATCATCTTTTAATCATACCAAATAATTGGCCAATATATTTGTGTTTTTGTGCATTAAAATTAAAAAAAAATGTATATTTTTGTCAAACAAATTGTGTTTGAAAAATCGCTGTGCAAGTAATATGTGAGATAAAAAATTGCAGCACCCACCATTTTATTTACTAGGTGTCTGCTCTAAAAAAAATATATAATGTTTGGGGGTTCACTTTAATTCCTAGCAAAAATACTGATTTTTTAATGTGAACAAAAAGTGTCAAAAAGGGCTTGGGTCTTCAGGTGGTTAGAAGAGAGTGAGTGATGTGTGGCATAAACTTCTAATTCTGGGCATAAAATGCCCCACCCCCCAAAATGACCCCTTTTTGGAAAAATAGACACCCCAAACTATTTGCTGAGAGGCATGTTGAATCAATTAGAATAAAGATTTCATTTTTTTACCACAAGTTTTTGGAAAATGACCAAAAAAAAATTACACAAAATTGACATTTAAATAATTTTATTGCTCACACAAGCCATATGTATATGTGGAATTACTCCCCAAAATACATTCTGGCTACTTCTCCCGAGTGTGGGGGTACCACAGGTGAGAGACATTTTGGCAGTCTAGCCAAGTATAGGACCCCAAAATCCAAAAGGCACCTTCAGGCTTTTAAAGGGCTTTATTTCCTCATTACACTTCCTGACTACCTATCACAGTTTCGGAGAGGCCCTGGAATGCCAGAATTAGCACCAAACCCCCCCAAATTTTTTGGAAAATAGACACCCCAAGGAATTTGATAAGAAGCATGGTAGTATATTTGCAGATCTCCCATTTGTTTGCCACAAGTTTTTGGAAAATGAAGAAAGAAACAAAAAACATATTTTTTCTTTTCTTTTTTATATTTCAAAAACCTTGTGAGGAAAAAATGAGATCTGAAAAATACTTACCATGCCTCTTTTAAATTCCTTGGGGTGTCTACTTTCCAGGAAAGGGGTCATTTGGGGGGGGGGGGGGGGCGGTTGGTTCTATCCTGGGCATGTCAGGGCCTTCAAAAACTGTGATAGGTAGTGAGGAAGTGAAATGAAGAAGTTACACACCTTCAGGCTTTCAAAGTGGTCATGGATTTCAGGCTCCTGTATGTGGCTAGGCTCTCCAAAAAGTCTCTATACGTGTGGGTATCCTCATACTCAGGTAGCAGAATGTAGCAGAATGTATTTTGGGTGTAATTGCACATATACCCATGGCTTTGTGCAAGAAATAAATCATTTTAAAATGACAATTTTGTGTAAAAAAAAAAAACAAAAAAACAGTTTTTGTCATTTTCCAGAAACGTTTTGTGGAAAAAAAAATTAATCTTCCATGGACACAATATGTCTCTCAGACCAGATAGCTTAGGTGTCTACTTTCCGAATAAAAGGTAATTTGGGGGTGTTTGTACTATCCTGGTATTTTAGCACCTCAATGAGATGTGATGGGCGTCAGAAAATAAAAGCTGTGTAAATTTCAAATTATCTATACCATAGTTTATAGACGCTTATAACTTTCACACAAAGCAATCAATATACACTTATTGGGATTTCTTTTTACCGAAACATGTAGCAGAATACATTTTGGCCTAAATTTATGACGAAATTTGAGTTTACAATATATTTTTATAGCTGAAAGTAGAAAATATTGTTTTTTTTTTTTTTAAATTTTCATGTTTTTTTTGTTTAAAGCGCAAAAAATATAAAAAGCGCACAGGTGATTAAATACCACCCAAAAGAAAGCTCTATTTGTGTGAAAAAAAAAATGCGTAAATTTCGTTTGGGTGAATACACAGCATTGCATGACCGCGCAATTATCTTTGAATTAGTCTGCATTAAGGGGGGTAAATCCTCAGGAGCTCAAGTGGTTAAAGTAACTTACTATTTAAAGGTTTTTTATATCTCATCTAGGAGGTACATTGTCCACTTACTTAGAAATTAATCCGGATGTCCTCCAAAGGCAACTATTATACACATTATCTAAATATATGGGCAAATAATAGTAGCTCATATACAATAACATACAACTACATGAGGAAAAAATTTTCTAACACCTAAGCCACACTTTACATTGTGGTATTTCCAGTCTCGGTTATTACATGGGATGTCATTAATTAGAAAATATACAAATTCAGTCTTACTCTGTTGGGGAAATCTCACTCATCTACGGATCTTAACCCCTTCAACGCTGGCGCCACTCCCGGCCCTTTAAGAGTTTCAGAAGACGGGACGGGCGGTGTTTTAGGGACATGTGACCCCCTGCCGTGATACATCGTCACGGCGGTCCACAGATGATCGGGAAAGTTCCCGATCGAAAGAGGAGACCGGGACCTTTCCGTGAGTACCGGACATGTGTGCTGGAGCAAGCTAGGGCGTGCACTCTTGGCACATATGTCCTTTTTCAATAGAACGCAAATGTTGCGGCTGCTCGGTGTCTAGGCCCAGACGTCGGGAGGCCGCACGTTTGCGTTCGGCCGGCGTGAAGAGGTTAACTTCTTGCCAACCGCCACACACAGGAGTACGTTGGCAAAGCAGGCCCCAAGCAACTGGCCAACGTACCTAGAAGATGTTCCACGCTCCCAGGCAGGGGGTACACACACATGCCCCCCGGCCCCGGCAGTGCTGTGATTCGGTACAGCCCCGATCAGTCATCATGTCATGCAGATCTGCTGTAACAAATCACAGATCAGCCTATGCCCTGTGATAACAAAACATAAATCACAAACTAAAAAAAAAAAAATTTAAAAATGTAAAAGTTTAATAGTTGTATTGTTAACCATTGTTGTTTGCTTTGCAGGAACGCCAGTCAGCTGCAGCACTGATATGTTTAATCTGACAGCAACAGGGTGTTGTCCTCAGAATATATACATCAGTGCCCGCAGTGCTGCTGGGGGGGATTTCTCATCTGCAGTTAAAAAAAGAACATATATACCCAATCATGGAGGCCTGGGGTGGTCAGTGGGTGGATCGCCCCTATGCTTCGACATATATTTTTTTACACGTTTTTTATGGCACAGATTTCTTCATCTACATTGATCAATGTGAATGGAGGAATCTGTTAGGTTCCTATGCCCCTAGGGGCAATATTCTTCCCTTCGACATTAACAATGGCTCATAATTCCTCCCACTGACACCAACGATGGGGCTTAATTCCTCCCACTGACACCAACGATGGGGCTTTATTCCTCCCACTAACACCAACAATGGGGCACTATTTCTCGAATACCAAAAATAGGGCATTGCTCACTCCCATTGACGCCAGGACATTTTCTACTCTCACTGGTCACAGTCCAGCCTCTCTATAGTCTGAAGAACAATAAACTGGCCCTTTGTTTAGAAAGTATGGAGACCCCTGCTATATACCTTCACCAACTCCCTCTTAGATGCTTTGCTATCTAAATACTTTAAAGATTATTACCTTCACCGTCCTCAATTAGACACTAAAGGTCCATTTACATGTCGGTTAATTCCCTTACGACCCCCTCTAACCTAGAGACTTTACAAACACATCCTTTATTGGTTATCTCACTCCTGCCCCCTCCCTCTAGATTTATTTCAACTTGTAATCTGTTAGATTTTGTTAGACTTGCAATCTTTATTATTATCCATATCCCCTCATACTTATCTTGGTGATAATTTTTACTGGTTACTTGCTTTTTACAAAACCCCATTTATACATAACGCACTATATACAGCTATTCTGTTTTCTTTCATATAAAAAAAAATGGAGAAAGAAGAAAACAAAATGAAAGGAAAAATAAAAGAAATACTTTGACTGTAATATAGACTTTACCACCAGCTATTCTGTTTTTTTAGGTAGGGGGCGTGTGCACGCACGCCTATCTTCGCTGTCACTGGCTGCAGTCATTGGCTCCCTGAAATGTTGATCAGCAGGTCCCAGGCAATGATTCACGGCCGGGACCTGTTGATCATCAGAGAAAGTGACAGGAGACAGATCTGTGTTGGTAAACAATCAGATCTCTCTACTGACAATGGGGATGTGCAGGTTTTTGTCTCCCTGCAAAGCAAGGAAACAAAAACTTTCAGATCCCCTAGTACAACAGTACACAGCACACACATTACACATAGTTAGGCACATAGTTAACCCTTTATTTTACCAAAATGTTAACCCCTTCCTTCCCAGTTACATTAGTGACAGTGCATTTTATTAGCACTGATCACTATATTAGTGTCACTGGTCATGTCAGTGTCAGTTAGCCAGTGTCAGAATGCCCGCTGTACTATCACAGTCCTCTTATAAGTCACTGATTACTAGTAAAAAAAGATTTCAAAATTCCAGTATATATACCATCATTTGTAGATGCTATAATTTTCACAAAAAACCAATTAATATACATTTATTGGGATTTTTTTTTTTTTTACCAAAGACATGTAGCAGAATACATTTTGATTTACATTTATGAAGAAATTTTATTTTTATATTGTTTAATGGGATAGGTTTTATAGCAAAAAGTAAAAAATATTACTGTTTTATCAAATGTTTTGGTCTTGTGCAAAAAATTAAAAACCCAGTGGTGATCATGATCAAGTACCACCAAAACAAAGCTCTATTTGTGTGAAAAAAATTATATAAATTTAATTTGTGTACAGGGTTGCATGACTATGCAATTGTCAGTTAAAGTAGTGTAGTACAATATAGCAAAAAAATGGCCAGGTCATGAAGGGGGGTAAGTGGTTTACCATTGTTGTTTGCTTTTTATGAACGCCAATCAGCTGCAGCACTGATATGTTTAATCTGACAGCAACAGGGTGTTGCTCCTAGAATAAATACATCAGTGCTCACAACGCTGCTGGAGGAGATTTCTTATCCGCAGTTAAAAAAAAGAACATATATGCCCAAACATGGGGGCCTGGGGTGTATATATATTTTATTTATTTAAAGCGGAGTTCCACTCATTCTGTAAAAAAATAAAGGTCAGCAGCTACAAAAACTGTAGCTGCTGACTTTTAAAAAACAGCCACTCACTTGTCCCCCGAACCCGCGGTGCCCCCCGCCGCAGCCTGTTACATCTTCAGTGTGGGCTTCCAGCTGTGGCAGCTTGCGGCTTCACAGCCGGGTGCCCACTGCGCATTCGCGAATAGCGCTGGGCTTCCTGGATGGCCCCGTAGTCTTCTGGGACCTGTCACTGTCCCACAAGTCTACGGGGAGGGAGGGTAGGAGGACAACTTCCATTTCCAATTGCCTAGGCGATCGCAGTGGAAGTGGGAGCGGGTATTTGTCAATTTCGGGTACCCGCTCCCCAAAGGTGCCAATCCTTAATCGGGAGAGGAGGACCAATCTTTAAAGCGGAACTTCCCCTTTTGGGTGGAACTCTGTTCTTTTTTTTCATTCAGCCCACAGGATTTCCAGCTTTTAGAGGGGCCCCACAAGTATGGTGTATGTATAGTCACATTGCTCCAAGCTAGACCAATGTAAACAAGGTAAGATTATCCATACTTTTAATCCTTGCAGTTTGGGGGGGAGGGGGGTAAGCTTCACTGCAAGGGTAGTTTTTCAATATCCCTGGAGTTTACTTCTAAACCATTGTGGATTAGGTTTACCTCTATACTCAGCCCAATTTTTTTTTACGCTGTCATGACACAATTTTTCTGTCTATGCTATTCTTGTAGTCAGTCATACTGAATGAGTCCCTTGATGTGAAGTACACATTATCGGATTGGCATAGCACAACCTGTTATTTTTACACGTCAAGTAATTCCCATAAAAGTCTGGAATCTAGTACAATTACACACTTTACTCACTACTTCTCCAGTCCATCTTATGTATCTATAAATAAGAAATCTAGATCAGGTAATATATTGCAACTTCTTTTTACAGGCATTTCCCTTTATTCTCATGTGGTGATCCTGCCATTATCACACTACTGTCCTCTGGTAACAACATTCTATAATTTGTGGAGGGTCAGCATTGTCACAAAGGTTAGGATGTGCGCTAGGACTACAGAACACCTCCTTCTACCCTCGTCCCCATAATATGGATGGGGTTGTTCTATAGTCTACAAAATGTGAACAATGTTAAGCAGCCAGCTGAAGCAGAGGGCATAGCCAGTTGTTATCAGCTCACAACATTTCTGGCAGGAACAACAGATATTTTATTGTACTTACTGTGCAGATATAATAAAACCCTTTTAATGGTATGTTTAGCAAATCAAATGGGAGTAAGGCTTCGTTCACAACTTCAGACCTTCAGCTATGCCCAAGCATAGGGGCCTGGGGTGGCCAGTGGGTAGGTTAAACCATTGCTGTTTTCTTTGCAGGAATGCCATTTAGCTGCAGCACCGATCTGTTTATTCTGACAGCAACAGGGTCTTGCTTTCAGAATATACTTAAGTAATTGTGTGCAGCGCTGTTGGATTAGATTTTTCATCCGCAGTTAAAAAAGAGCATATATGCCCAAACATGGGGGCCTGAGGTGGCCAGTGGGTGGATTGCCCCTATGCTTCAGCATATATATTTTATAATATTTTTTGGCACATATTTATTTAAAAAAGTTGTTTCATTGAATTACTGTTTTATTGTTAACCATTGCTGTTTTCTTTGCAGGAATGCCATTTAACTGCAGCACCGATCTGTTTATTTTAAGAGCAACAGGGTCTTGCTCTCAAAATATACATAAGTAAGTGTGGGCAGTGCTGTTGGATGAGATTTTTTTTATCCACAGTTAAAAAAAGAGCATATATGCCCAAGCATAGGGGCCTGGGGTGGCCAGTGGGTGGATGGCCCCTATGCTTCAGCATATATATTTTATAATATTTTTTGGCACATATTTAATTTAAAAATTTGTTTTATTGAGTTACAATGACAATGACCCAAAACACACGGCCAAGGCAACAAAGGAGTGTCTCAAGAAGAAGCATACTAAGGTCCTGGAGTGGCCTAGCCAGTCTCCAGACCTTAATCCGATTGAAAATCTGTGGAGGGAGCTGAAAGTTCGAGTTGCCAAAGGTCAGCCACCAAACCTAATGACTTAGAGAGGATCTGCCAAGAGGAGTGAGCCAAAATCCCTCCTGAGATGTGTGGCAAACTACAGGGGGCCAACTACAGGAAATGTCTGACCTCTCTGATAGCCAACAAGGGATTTGCCACCAAGTACTAAGTCATGTTTTGTGAAGGTAATCAAATACTTATTTCCCTCATGAACATGCAAATCAGTGCATCATTTGTTAGACATGCATTTCTTTTGAAATTTGTGTTGCTATTCTGTCTCTCAGTGTTACAATACACGTACCATTCGATTTTAGACTGATCATTTCTTTGTGAGTGGGCAAACATTCAAACTCAGCATGGGATCAAATACTTATTTCCTTTACTGTATATGCCCAAGCATGGGGGCCTGGGGTGGTCAGTGGGAGAATCGCCCCTATGCTTTGGCATATATATATATATTTGTTTGTATTTAATTCTTTTATATATATATTGTAACATTTGGGGATGTTTAGCTCAGTAGTAGATGTTTTGTGAGTGAGTTCAC